GACGGTCCTGGAATTCATTCATTCACCAAATACTTTTGGAGTGTCTGCTCTGGTCCAGACACTGGGGACACGGTAGCACACAGGGAGGAACCCACCTTCTGGAAGGTATGGCCAGGAAGCACAGCCTCTTTAGACAACATTGACCTTGAAGTTGTCTGTCCACTCTGTTCTGGTGTCCCCTCTTCAACGAGCCAACAAGTGTTTTCTGATCTTGACATGAACATCTCCAATGGGGAAACAAGGCCCCCAGCCCCCACACTGCACACCACCCTGTGTCGTCCCGATTACTAGTGTCTGACTCCGCAAGAGGAAGGTTGTCTTCTTGTTCTGCCTCCTTGGGTCACACTCTTCGGCACGACAGCCCTTCTAGTGTCGGAAGTTAGGGGTCGTACCCCCTAATCTGCTCTGAGCCAAACCCTCATCCAGGGATCCCATTCTCGGGGCCAGGGCTACACCTGCCCACTGGTATGAGAAAGCCCGGTTGCTCATTTCAACAGTGGCATGCCACCACAAGGCCGTCTCCAAAAATGGCTAACAGTTGACCAGAGCTGGCTGGGCCACCTTTGAGAGTGACCTTCTCTCACCACCTGCTTCCCAGGTGGCTTTAGCTCATGTCCCCTCACTCTAACCACAAGCCAGTCCTTGATCAAATCTGCCTAACTTCCAAATGCTGGAACTGACCTTTCTTTGAGACTGATCTTTTTTTTTTTATTTTCCAGTCATGGGATTTTGCTGTTGAAAGCTATTTTCATGTTTAACCCAGCACTTCCAATTTAGACTCTATTTTACAAAGGAAAAAACATCAAACAAAACCAACAAACCTGAGACAGATGGATTGAGCAACGGCGCTGGCCAGATTTGGAGCATCTCTCAGCAGCCTGCCTTAGCATAAGTTGGGGGCGTGGGCAGCCGTCTGCTAACAATTGCTGCCGAATATCTGATTAATTGATCACACAAAAAGCACATGACTAGAAATGCCTGCTTCCTGGTATCCCCACTGTAGCTTAAGCAGTTGGATACAAGGTGCTTATAATAAACACTGTTGGTTTTTAATTACTCCGAGAACAATAGAAGGAAAGAATTCTAGTAATTATTGATCACTAAACACTATTGATTATTAGTAATGATCTTGGACCATGTTTTATCATATATGATCGTATTCACTCCTTGCAACAGTCCCGCTGGGTGGACTGTATTCTCTGTTACTTACGGGAAGGAAATTGAGGCGAGTGGGAACGTGGCTCACCCAAGGCTCCACTACTCGTGGTGAAGCAGGATTCACCCTCGAGTTTTTCTGGCACCGGAATCCACGCTCCGAGGCGGCAGGACCAGCAGAAGCAGCCCCAGACTGACCGCCCCCCCCCCCCCGGCAGTTCTGCAGGTGCAGGGCAGAGGGACTCGCCCTGGGGACTGTCCCGCCCCTGGGAGCTCTGGGGTTGGGGTTTGTGAAGTACAGCCTGGGGGGAGCCCTGCTGCCGACTTCAGATTCGGGAATTCCACGTGGTTTTACCTGTCACCTTTCCGTGTGTGCTGGGGCGTCGGTGGTGAGCTGGTGTACCCTGCCCGCGAAGGCGCTCTCTGTCTGTGGGCGATGGACGTCCAGGCACGCGGGTCGTCCTGAGTCCTCTCTGGGATGAGTCCAGGGGGTGGCAGGGGCAGAATAGGGCCCCTGCCTTCAAGGGTGTCCACATCCCCATCCCCAAATATCTGTATGTGGGTTGCTTTCCTGGCAAGGGCGCTCTGCAGATGGGATTACGTTAAGCACCTTGAGGAGGAGCCAGCAGTCTGGAGGATCCGGGGGCTCAGTGTGCTCACCGGGCCCCTGTGACGGAGACAGGAGGGTGAGAGGTTGAAGGTGCCACACTGCTGGCTCTGGAGGTGGAGAAAGGGGCTGCAAGCCAAGGAATGCGGGGGCCTCCAGAACGCTGGGAAAGGCAGGCGTCAGAACCCCCCGGAGCCCCCACAGGAGCGCAGCTCTGCAGACACCTGGATTTTAGTGCAGTGACACCCCCAGACTGTCAGATAATAAATTGCCGTGATTTTAAGCCACTAAGTGTGTGGTGATTTGTCACAGCAGCCATAAGAAACTAACCTATGGAGTCAATAAACACCCGCAGGGAAGCAGAGAACAGTGAGGGGGATGGAGGTGAAGGGAACCCCAAACAGGCTGTCCGGAGGGCCCGTGTCGGCCCCACAAGGGGGCTGTCCAGACCTCCGTTTTGTTCCGTGGTGATTTGGATGAAAATACTTGTCAAACTCGCATATGCCCTGAAGAGAGGGGAGAGAGACGAGGAACGTGCCCAGAGAGCCCCTCGGGGCGGGAGGGCGGATCGGCCCCCACAGGTGGAGGCCGGGGGCACCTGTCTGAACACCGGCAGCACGGCCCTGGGGAGGGGGGTGACGGAGACACAGCGAGTGGGAAGGGGACAGGAATGCCCGTTAGTTCCGGGGAGTCCAGCAGGGACAAGCTCTGCAGCCCAGGCACGCTCAAGAAGGAGAAAGGGCAGCGTCAGCCCCGGCCGAGCCACTTCCTAAGGGGCCCCCAGCAGAGAGTTGGCGGCCTCCCCTTAGCCGCGGGTCAGGAGAGGCCCCGTTAGGCCGGCATGTGCCCGACTCATCCGCACCCCATCTGACCTGAGTCACCAGCCTGGGGACAAAGTGAGGTCGCAGTTCTTTTATTCCCGCTTTTAATTGTATTTTTTAATATAATACATGCAAACTGTTGTTACACTCCCATTTGTATTTGTCATTATATTTATTTGCATATACTATCATATTCAATATTAATATATTAATAATCAGGTGTTAACCTGATTATTAATGTAGATTAATAAATAATTAAATTAATATAATAATAATATAAATTAATGGATAACTAGTAAATCAAAATGTTAATTTAGCTCACTCCTGTAGTCCCAGCACTTTGGGAGGCTAAGGTGGGAGGATCGCTTGAGGCACGGAGTTGGAGGCTGCAGTGAGCTCCAATCATGCCACTGTACTCCAGCCTGGGGGACAGAGCAAGACCCTGTCTCTAAAAAATAAAAGGACCCAGATTCCTCATGGCCTCCTGCTCTGCCATCCTTATCTTGAAGCTTGAAAAACATATTAATTTAAATATTTTGACAGAATATGTGATAGATATAATGAGATGATAACATCTTGAAAAAAATGTCAATTTAAATGTATTAAGAGAATACATTATACATATAAGAAGCACACATATCTAAACGTGCTGCTCGAGAGGCAAGCACCGTCCTATAACTGCAACCCCCACCAAGAAGCAATGCCTGGCCTGCCCTGACCCCCCTCCAGGGGTCCCTTCCATTCTCTGCATCCCCAGGATCAACTGCCCTGTCTCCACCTAAAGAACAGCGCTGTGTTACGAATACAAATGTCGAGCACCTCCCAGCATGAGCCCATCACCTGTTGCTCTTCTCAGCCGAAGCAGGTGTCAGGAGCCACTTGTTGTCCGAGTAGTGACCATACCTTTAGAAAAGGCCATTGACATTCAAGGTGGGTCAAGCGTGGTGCTACGGAATGGCAGCTGCCCAGGCACCCTAAATCCTCCCTGTGTCCCCGGGCCCAGCACAGAGTCTGACCCAGAGTCTGCGAGGCTGGGCGTAGAGCAGGAGCTCCAGGCTCACAGTCAGAGACACCCCTGGCTCTCAACCCTGACTCCACCTTGGCCTCTGCTTATCTATCTGAAAAATGGGAATGCAGTACCCTCCACCAGGATAGTTCAGCGATTAAATGAGAGTATTTTAACACCTCTGGCACATTCCCTGACCATAGCAGGGGCTCCACATGGGTAGTAACAGTGCTCAGTAGATAGGTTTCCAATGATGATGTCACTGTTTAGTGTTCGTTCATTCGGTCCCGCTCAAAAGAAGCATTTATTATAGGCCGGATAGATATCGGAGCCAACCTTGGGGCTGAATGCATCCATGTTCTGCCTCTGGAGAGGGTCTGGAAGGGCCTGGGACAGCCTGGACATTGCTCTTCTGGGCTGGAGAAGGGAGGGGCCTCTTCACTGCTGTGTCTGGGGTCACCCCGTGCCCTGGAGCAACCCGCTCCCCCACCTCCAACCTGAGTCTGAGCAGCAGAGAGCCTTTACAAACGGAAGTAGGGAGTTCCGATCCCTAGATGCAAGCATTCTGGCACCCTTACGTGCTGGGATGCCTGGTGCAGGCGGTAGGAATTAGGATCTGGGGGAGTTTGTCCCTGTGCCACTAGAAGCTATATTCATACCTGCCGACTCGAAAATTGTGTGTCTGTGAAATTGTGTGTCTAGTAAATAAAAGTGTGTGTGCGACGATGCACAAGGATGTTCACCAGTGCATTATTCTTAACAGGAAAAATGGAACTTCCTAAACCTCCAGCTGTAGGGAAGTGGTTTAATTATGGCTTGGATTTATGGCAGAATATTATACAACCGTCAAAATGGCATTTGGAATTTTGATGGACTTTTTACTACAGGAATAAAAAATACATGTTTAAGTGTGTTCTCTCTCTCTCTCTCTCTCTCGCACACACATGCACAGAACAAAAGATTGGAAAGGAAAAATGATCAAAATGGTAACAGTAAGTACGTGGTGAGATCATGATTCTCAGTTTTTTTCTTTATCCTCTTTTGTATTTCCTGAGTGCTCTATGCTGAGCACAGATTATTTTTAAAATTGGAAGAGGAGTAAAGGCATCCTACAACCCGTGCTGTCGTGGAAGGGCCTGATAACGGGGCCTGTGAGAGTCGCCAGCTAGCGGCCGGGCAGGTTCCTCGGCGCCTTCTCCTGCAGAGTGGTGTGACAGTGCCTGCCCCAGAAAGTCGCCGTGAACACTAATTCGTGTGGGCGAATTAAAATATGCGTCGCCCGTTACAAAAGCACAAACGCAGAGCCCTGCGTTGCAGCCCCAGAAGGAGTTGTGGTCTCCTGTGGGCTGGCTCGGTCGGGCCAGCGGCCTTCCCGAGGCCCCCGGTTAACGTTCCCTGTGCTTCCTTGCAGCTGCCCATGATGGGAGGAGCCTTCATGGACTCGCCCAACGAGGACTTCAGCACCGAGTACTCGCTGTTCAACTCCTCCTCCAACGTCCACGCGGCTGCCAACGGCCAGGGCCCGCCGGAGGAGCCGGCCCGGTCCTCCAACGACGCCGTCTTGCTGTGGATCGCCATCATCGCGACGCTGGGCAACATCGTGGTGGTCGGGGTGGTGTACGCCTTCACCTTCTGAGTGGGGGGATGGCGGGCAGCCCCGGGACGGCCCACCCTGCGTCGGGCATGCCACGGGGTGAGGCTGTGCCCCCGGCGCCGTCCAGCCGCTGGTCTCCAGCTGCAAAACCAGGAACTTTGACCACTTGAATGGCCTCTCCAAGGGCAGCTCCCACGCGTCCGGAATTTCAAACATGCCTCGAAGCCCAGATTTCAGCTATGCCGTGCCGTGGTCAGGCTGACTCAGAAAGCAGGGACGTGTGGGCTGCCGGCTCCGGGAAGCGCGGCGGGCGAGGGTTTCAGAGAGCCGACTGGGGAATTCCGGAGGCTGCGTTCCTGGAACACGAGGCCGGATGCAGCGGCCAGTTAGGTGTGAACTATAGATGTGGTTGGGTGATAAGCACTTGTGTGTCTTGCGTTTATGCAAAGTCGTTTGAGGCTGCTGGGGCTAGAGCAGCCCTCAGAACTTCGGCGTTTCTAGCCCAGTCTCGGTCCCATATTTAACCCCTTGGTATATTGGCGGCCACAGGACGGTCCTGATTTGACTTTGCAGTGGCACCTTCGTCACCAGACACCCGGCCCAATCACATCAGGACACTCGGGAATGAGGGACGGGGAGGTGAGCAGTAACATGCTGGGGTTTCTGGGGGTGTTGGTGGTGGTTTTTATATGCTGGATGGATTTTTCTCTTCTTTTTAAGGAGGGGGTAGGATGTCTTTAAAAACTAGGTCTGCCAGGCAGTGAACGCTTCGGGCCACCCACATGAAGATGCTCTTTCTTCTTTGAGGGATCCTAGAATTTTAGAGATGAATAAGCTCGTGTCCCCTGAATTTTGGGGTGGGAAGGTTGGAGAGGGGCGTGACTTGCCAGCGGTCACAGGGCAGGTGAACATGGGAGTCAGAACAGGAAGATGTTTCCTAACCCTCGGCTCAGTGCTCTCTCTGCCCCAGTGACGCACTCCCCTGAGCAGGTCCCTTGCCTTTAAGGCCATGAGGCAGAGACGCCGCCCTCGGGACATGGTCCAGGGAGTGTTGAAGCAGGTGCAAGATCGCAGGCCATTTGCGTACCTGTATTTGACACTCTTTGGGCACTGTGCACTCTCCTGCAGTTGTGAATGTGCTTCTGCCCCAGCCAGTTTCCTTAAATTCTTAAAAATCAGTGTTTGGGGGTAGGGGGCAGGGCAAACAAGGAAGCTCCCAAGCTAAGTCCAGAGCATCAGGGCAGGGGCCTTGCTGGGAAGCAGGACTTGGGAAAGGGCGTGCACGGCAGCCCCGCCCCCACCCTGCCTTCCCAGGCAGCCTCCCCTGCAGATGGGAGCGGGAAGGATCTCAGACCGGCTCACTCGCCTACAGCCCTGGGCGGCTTTTTTCCTACACTGCGAAAAGAAGATAAATGGCAGAAATTCCCCTTCTTGGGTGGAGAAACGAAAAAGGCTGGTTAAGAAGCCTTTGTGTGTGTTTGGGGACAACTGCAAAAAGGCTGAACTTGCCACTGCCATCTCGGGAGTAATGAGTGCTCTTGGTGATGGGCAAAAGGACACTTAATTATCCAGAGGCAGATCGGACTCTGGGAGCTGCCGTGGTAACGGGATTAGCAGCCTGGCGTCCAGACAGTGCCTGCTCACGGCCGGCCGCCAGCTCTTACCCGCCACATCTGTCACCATGGCCACGCGTCCATCAGCCAATGCTTCAGCTCAGATGGAAGTCCCGAGTGCAGAGAGCAGCCTGACCTTGGCTGTGAGGGAGAAGGGACATGGATCGGATGCCTGGGACTCTTGGAATCGTCGGCAGGCGGAGGCTGGGCCGGGCTATGAGCTGTTGTGTGCACGGGGGGGTTCGGGGATGTTCACCCCGGCTGCTTCTCCAGCAACCTGCAGGTGTGCCCTGTGGGCAGGGTCTTTAGTAAACAGGTGTCCTCATGGGAGAACCCAAGGAGAGGCCCGCCCTGGCCTGGCGCATAGCGATCGGCCCCCGGAGACCAGAGAGGCCCAGCCACCTCTGTGTGCCGTCAGCACTGCCCCCTGACTCCTTTGAGACAAACGGGGCCTTCCCTCCGCAGGAGCACCCCCTTCCTTCGTTATTATTATTAGCCGTAGCATCACTGATTATTGTTCTGACTGCTGCACACCTCCCCTGTGTTGTGTGCTCATTTACTTCTCAAATGACCCCCAAGGGGGCAGGAGTGAGGGTGCAGAGAGGTGCTTATTGATTATTGTGCCGTTTTTCTGATTAGAAAACTGAGGCCAGGCCATGCCCATGATTGCTCTAAGCTAAGGAGCTGAGACTCAGACCCAGTTCTGGCGCTCTAGAGGCTGGGTCCGTGCCCCCGTCACCCTGCGCCCATGCCCTGCAGAGAGCCCTCTGGAATGGACCAGGCTGGGGCCGAGGTCTGGCCCTGGAGAGCTGTGGTCAGACGGCCACGTCCCAGCGTAGGTCCTGGGTCAGGGTAGGGAGCAGCAGTGCACATGTATTTATCGGTGTCAGAACCTCACAGTGATGAGAGGTTTCAGAGTGCATCTATTCAGGACCTTTCATTTTTGGAGAGAGCAGAGGAGGCCACGTGGAAAATTAGCAGAGAGCTGACAGTCTCCGGGCGCCTGGCCCGGGGCTCCATCCTCTGGGCCGTGAGCGTCTGCCAGGAAGCAAAGGGATTTCCCTGGATTACCAGCTCAGCCCCGAGATGGATCGCGTGCTCTGCCAGCTGCCACCTGGGCCCCTCCGCTGCATCCTGGCCGATGCCCAGTGATCCGCCCTGAGCAAATCCCTGGGGGCACTGAGCTGCTGCGGGGGTGGTGGGGCCCACAGAGCTCTGCTCAGGGGCCCAAAGGGAGCAGTCGTGCCTGAGTGACCCACATTCCCTTGTCCCCACCCCTCCCACTCCGGCCCACTCCACGCACCTCTGACCAGGGTCACTCTGAGAGGGACGGAGGAGAGGGTGGGTGAACTGCATGCTGAGAACCCAGAGGGACAGAGCCCCCGACCTCCCAGCAGGAAAAGGGGCCTCTCTGCAAAGCCCAGATAACCAGAACTGCAATGGCACCAAATATTCCCAATGCACCCTTCTGAGCTTGGGGCTTGAGCACTGACAGAGGGTTGTTTTATTTGGGGGGGGGAGTGTCGGTGGGGGTTGGGAGGGACAGTGACAAGAGATGAAACAAAGATACAAACCCTAGTGACTGAAGAAGGTAAAAGATCCCCCCAGAGTGAGAAAACGATAACATCTGAAGCATAATGAATGGTCAAAAGTACACAAAATAGGCTACACAAATTTTGAAACGTAGGTCTTCATTGATAAAAGCAGAGATGACGTGGGCATCACGTCACGTCTTGGAGGGGCTGCACAGGTGGCAGAGTACGGGGGTCCCGTACAACGATCTTTTGCCCACAGTGGTCATGTTGCGCCTGCCAGACAGCTCTGCCTGTGCACTTGGTAAGGCTCCTCACCTGCTCCTGGGCCCTTGTTCAAGCTGGGCTTCCTGCCTCCCCTACAGGAGGTTTGAGCCCCATTCTGCCTTGGGAATAAGTCCTGACATGCACAGCACGTTTGCAGGGAACTGCAGGCCTTGGTTATTGGGGAGCCAGAGCCCAGTGCACCCCGCCCCTGTCCTCGTGGCTGAGCCGGCCCTGGCAGCCCCCCGTCTGTCTCACCTTTTGCTGATGTCTTAATAAACTGCCGCATTTACAGTTCAAAGTGTTGTCCAGCAATCCAGATGGCTGGGGCTCTGTAAGCTGGCAGGAAGGGAGCTTCCAACCTTTTAACTTGAGGAAACTGAGTCTCTGAGGGGCTGGGGAGAGTTGCCAGGTGGAGCTGGTCACCAGGAGAGCAGGGTCTTGAGCCCAGGACACCTGACTACAAAGTTGGCTCCAGGAAGCTTAGTGGTCAGTGCCATTGGGCCAGTGGTTCTCAACTGGGGGCCAGGGGGCGTTGGCAATGTCTCGAGACATTTTTGGCTCTTGCATTTTGGTGGGGAGGGGCTGGCATCTAGGGAGTCAAAGCCAGGGATGCTGCTGAACATCCTATGATGCATATGCAGGCCAGCCCCCCACGACAAAGAGTTATCCAGCCCCCAAATGCCAGTAGCGCCGAGGTTGGGGATCCCTGCACTAGGCTGTACCACCTCTGATCCCCAAACTATGCATGTTTTCAAAGCTCCACTGTTCCCCACTTGTGAGTCACTGGCTAAATGAAAGCTCTTCTGAGCAACAGCAGTGATCATGGTCACTGCCCCGAGCTCAAGTAATTCCAGCTGAGGGCAACGGTCTGGAACTCCCAGCACATTAGGTTAGCCTGTTGGAAATCCACGTAGCTCTATTTCCACTGTCCTGGGCTTTCATGGGGACGCCCACCCTTCAGAGTAGATGGGACGGTGGGGCTGACCTCGTCTCCACCAGTAACTTTGTGTCTCTGGGACCCGCAGAAGCCCTGGCCCCTCACCAACTGCACTTGCGAGGAACGGCTGGTGACGGAGCTTAGGAATGGGGTGGGGGGGGGTAACAGCCTCCGAGCAAATCTGCATCTTCTGTTATCTCTGCCCCGTTCCCCAGATGAAGGCATCCTAATATTCTTTGTACTATTGGAACTTTTACAGAAACCTTATTCTTGTTACTTGCAACTCTCTAGATACCAATTCTTCATGCCAAGAGAAATGGAAATGTTTCTGTGTCTTACTGATGTTTTCATAATCAACTTGTAAATGCAGGCTGTTTACTTCATAAAAGGGTATTTTAACTATTCTTGTAGTCCCTTTGCTACTCAAGCACCTGGTTTCACCATGAGATCACCGACTTTTGCTACACTAAAAAAGACTCTTTCTTATTGTAGGATTTGAGTGTGCTCTTTTGATTAAACATATATCTAACCTTAACGGATGTAAAAACGTGGTTGTGAAATCTTTGTTAGCATTGTTGCTGTTGTCATTTTCTATTATGGTGATTTCAAAAAAGAAAACTTGAACTCCTCGGTGTCTGGTTCCAATCTGTGCTTTATGTAAAGGGTGCGACCTGCTGGTCTTCGAGAGGCTCACCTTGGGTGTCACCTCCGGTCACACGCCTCCTGCCCCACTGAGGCAGGACAGGTCCCCTCCTCCCCGTGCCCCTCCCGAGCCAGCTCTGCCATCGCACCTGTCTCAAATCGCCACAGGTGCATTTGCTCATACATCAGTGTCCCCAACTGAGACACCTGACAGCAAAGTTCATCTTATTCAATTTTTATACCCAGCACTGAGTACAGCCAGCGGAGATTCAGTGAACGAGGGAATGATACCTGCAGGGCCAGCACAGCACGTTTCAACTCCGCAAGGAACATGGACTATGCAGTTTTACTCATTAATTCACTAATGCTAGCAAATGTTCGTATAGCACTTTCCAGGTGTTTGGTGCAGTCCCGAGCTCTTCACATACGTATTAACTCACTCGATTCCCACAGTGATTGTGTAAAGTAGGTACTATTATTATCCTCATTTTACATATGAGGAAACTGAGGCACAGAGAGGTTTCTTGCCTACGGAAACTGGTGAGCCAGGCCTGGAAACCCCATTCTGGGTCTATCCTGGGCTTAGGTCTCAAGGCTTGCAGCCTTGCTGCCTTTGGAAGCCCGAGGGGCCAGGGCCAGCCTGCTGGCTGGAGAGGAGAGCAGGGCCTGGCCGCTCCCCGACTGCCCACCGCCTGGTAGGTAAGTGAGCCAAGGGAGAGGCTAGATCAAGGAAGCGAAGATGTCCTTGTCACAGTGTCAAATGCGGCACACTAATGGATCACTGAGGACTGCCTGGAGGCGGCAAGACTCATCCTTGCAGAGAATCTGGAGGAGCAGGTGCACAGCGGGGGGTTGGAGTTGGGTAGGAAGGCCAGGCGGGAGCCGGAGGTCAAGGCAGTGGTGGGTGGGGCTGGTGAGGGGACAAAGCCAGCTGGAAGGAGCCTCGAGCAAGCATCAGAGTGGGGGACCGTGGTGGACAACAGGCCGCCACCAGCCGTACGGACGCAGGGCTGTGCTCAGGGTAGAGAGGGTAGGTACGGCGTCTGGGCAGGGAGGCAGCAAGGGAACTGGGAAGTGACTCCTGATTTTGCCTCTCGAACCCGCCCCTCCAGCCGTCTCCCCTGCCTGGGAGGACGGGCGCCTCCACCTGGTTCCAGCCTGCCGGTGACCTCGAGTCCTCCTCCCCATCACACCCCCTGTGAGGATGGCTAAGGCCACACGGCCGGCAGACCATGTCCCCAAGACAGAGGAACATCATTTTGAGATAAAATGAAAAGAAAAGGAAAGGAGGCGGCTTCCACAGTCCAGTGCTGCTGAATTTGTACTCAAGAAGCCGCAGCCAGTCCGGCCTGCATCGAAACACGTCCTCCGCCCCCACCCCAGGCTCCGTGCGGGAATTTGCACTAGGATTTTGGTTTTACAAATTTGGCTTCTATTTGCCTGTCCCGTCAGCCTTGGTATCGTGACGGTGTGGCATGGCTTTCCTGGAGCACAATGTCAGCATGTGACGTGGGGACTGGAGAGAAATAGAGGTTGGTCTGGCACAGCCTCCTTCTGGTGCCCGGTGGAGTGGCCGTCCCCTGCATCCGCTCCTTAGAGCTGCCTGGGCCTTTAGGGGTGGAGGAGGAGGGGACAGAGGGGGAGGGACAGAGTCCTAGGACCAGGGCGGGACCCCTGGTGATTCTGGCACGGCTGGCCTGTTTATACAGCTGCCACTACCCGTGGTCTCCAAAACCGGCCCTCGCTAGGGATTTTCCATTTGGCTTCTAATTGCTTCAGCTCCTGCAGAGCCCTGGCCTTCTCAGGGCAGCAGAGATGGCCCCACGATTAATGTTTACACGGACCAGGCTGCTGAGGCCTTTTCTGCAAACAGCACGAATAACATTAAGCACCAGGGCAACGGGTACTGGCACTGTGCTGCCCTTAGGGTTTGCAAGCGCTTTCCAATCCAGCTGCCCCTCTGTGGGCCCCTCCCAACCCCTAGCACAACCAGGCAGGGCCCCTGTTCTCAGTCTCCTGGGGAGGGGACAAATGATCAGTTGAAGACAGCAGGGTGGCCAGGTGTGACAGAGAGAAACCTGGGCTGGGCCCCAAGTTGGGGTGGGGAGAGAGGAAGCAGAGGGGGGCCTGCTAGCCAGGCGAGCACCCCAGGCCAGAGAGCTGAGTCTCCAGTTTTTATAAAAGAAAACTGAAATTCATTTACTTGATCGCTCAATAAAGAATGACCGAGCACCTGCTCCAAGCCAGGCACTGTTCCCGACACTGGGGGTGTAGCATGAACAAAACAAAGTCCCCGCCCTTCCGATGGTGGGGGAAGACAAGCAAATAAAGACATAGTTAAAGATCAAGTCTGACTTCCTGAAAGCAAAAGGTAAAGAATAAAATATCGAGTAGTGACAAGTGTTGGGGGAAACAAAGTGAGTGCAGGGCACAGGGGAGGGGCTCGCTGTTGGGGAGAGGCTGGCCCAGAAACTCCTACCCCTAGGAGAGGTGGGGGCGCTGGCTCAGGACGGGGTGACAGTTCAGAGAGGTGACCCGATGTGCCCCAGCCACCTTGAGGCACAAGGTGGAGAGAGTTTTGTGCCCAGTTCTTACAAAGTATTGTCTTGCCCCAGAAGTGCCTTTGGATTAGCACCATTTATTCATTCATTCGTTCATCCACTGAGCCTCCACTCTGAGCTGGACAGACAGGAACCTGCCCTGGTTCCTGCCCCCAAGGAGCTCCCAGTCCCGTCTCGACGCCATGGTTGGCGTTGTGCAGCCCAGCCCTCCACTCAGATTAAGCCTCTGAAGGCAGCTGGCAGCCAGCCAAGGTCTACACGTGGGCGGCGCAGGTGAGGCACTGCCGCCCTTGGCGAATGCCTGGCTGGCACCCTCTACCTCGCTGGACCCTTCCTCTAGGTGGAAGGGGCACCTCTTCTGCGGTTCCTGCAGATGCCCCTGGAGCCTCCCCTCGGGCAGTCAGGCTTGGCTGCCGGATCCTGGGATGGATCTTGGACTGTCCAGCATCCACTGCCATTCGTTTTGGCATAGCCCCCATCTTCTTGTGGGGAGCCACAGCCCTCAGCTACGTACTTGGTCCATCCCAGGCTCAGTGGCCTGAATACCCATGACCCCGTGATGTGTCCAGGGCGGGCACACGGCTCTAGCCTGGGCAGCAGTGGCAGGGGTGGGAGTGACGACCTGACCAGGCAGGTGTGTGCGGCACAGATGCCCTAACGGGGCACCTGGGCGTGGTGCGTTCCTTTTCTTGCTTTGGAAGCCAACACTGTGGACCCTGGGGCCATCATCTGTCCATCCCAAATAGCCCTGAACAGGAGCCATACGGAGCAGGAAACTGTAGCCCCAATGCTGCAGGGTCTGAGCACAACGGTGACTGCTTCCCGCCCAGAGAAAAAGATGCTTGTCACGAAGCCACTTACAAAGGTTTTCTTATACCCACTTAAGGCTTCACCTTCCTTCCAGTGACCTCAGGGTTACTTTTGTTTTGGGGGGGGGGCATCGCTGGGTGAATGTGAAAATGCAAGTGCAGTGTGTGAAAATGCAAGTGCAGAATGTGAAAATGAAAGTGCAGTGTGACAGGGACAGGCAGCACGGGCACACGATTATGCGATGACCCCTTGGGGACCCTGCTGGCACCAAGTGCTGCCAGAAGCCAGCTCGGAGAGGAATCCCTGGTGTGCACTTGGAGCTGTGACCTCCCGGGCTCCCGTACACCCCAGGCCTGAAGGATCACGGGTCGTGCTAGTTGGGGTCGTGGGAGATGGGGCTGCCTTCAGAGGAGCATTTGGCAAAGGCCACAACTCCCGGTCCCCCTTCCTACCTGAGGTGGCAAGTGGGGGGTGTGTCTGTGCCCTGCACCTGTGCAGACACTCAGTTTTCAACTCTCTAGAAGCCCATTCACAACCCTGCCTTGCCCAGGGGTTCCCAGGGCACTTCCTTCATCCCCCAAAATTGTCCCCAGACGGCAGCGGTGAGTTGCGGGCACCAGAAAAACCACGGGATGGATGGAAACACGGAGAGCCCGCACCAGCAGGGGGCAGTGTGGTGCCAGGAACCGGGTGGACCCAGGGTCTGTCCGGCCGGGTGGGTTTCGGGCTCAGCTCTGCTTGGGGACTGCGTGAGCCCCTCACTAGCTGGCCACTCACCAGCTCCGCCTGCTGGTGGCTGCAGGAAACACCTGCAGAAGCTCTGAGATGCACCCCATCCCCGCATACCTTTCAGGAGATGGTGTTCCCACACAAGGCGTCGCCCCTAAACCACGGGGTCCCAGGCGGAAATCAGCTGACAGTCCTTGCGAGCACCCTGCCCCGCCCGCCTGAGCAAAGGCCTTCAGAGCCGGTGTCCAAACTGCTGGTCCAGAGGCCGCATCCTGGCCTCCAAAATCTTCCGATGGGCCTGGGCATGGCCCTGCTTTGTTCTAATAAGGCCTTTTATTGAAGTGTGACACCCAGACAGGAAAATACTTGTACAGTTCAATGAATTTTTACAAAGCCATCATGCCCGTAAACCTAGCAATTGGGTCAACAAGCTGAACATTCTCAGCCCATCCAGAAACCCCTGAGCCCGCACAATGCTCTAAAATTCACTTTGGTCAGTTGCCAACAATGACAGCAACAGAGGATCTGGGTGTCTGGGTTTTCCTGATAAAATGGAAAGGTCCACACGGCGGCTGCCTGCCGAGGGGGTGGGGGTACGTGGGCTGGGGCTGAGGGTGGCTGCCCTGCCAGGCAAGCACGAGCCCAGCCTGGGCCTGGGCCCCGGGTTTTCACGGGTCCATCCCTGCCTCCTCTACATGGCTTTCCCTGTGAGGCCAGGGCTCCGGGGGCCAAAGGCTGTGCCCACCCGGGGCCATCAGCCCCCTTCTGGGCCACACGTCAGCGCTTGGGACCCTGGAATTCTGTGCCCTCCTGGCTTTGTATCTGTGAGAGCTGCCTGCCGTGGGTGTCTGCACCCTGGGGTCCAGGGCAGTGCCAAGGAGCAGCC